CCCAGAGCAATGAAGAGGCACCCACGGGCCGTTCTCTGTGTCACAGGGCAAAACTGCTTCTCCGGGCACATCCTACACGTAAACTGTTGGACGTTACAACGCTCACTGCTCCGGCAGGAACGAGCTTCACCTAACCACCACTGGCACCCCAGCTGCTCCAGCTTCATCGTGCAGCTAGGCATTTCTGACACTTCTCTTGGCCAAGGCTTTCTGGACACCTTTGGATTCAGCTGGCCAGCTTGCTGCACCACTGATCTTGCCAAGACCTCCAAACCCAGCACCTGGGTGCACAAACTGCCTGACTCCAATTCAATTTCATTTGTACGGGGGCACTGCTGGGAGACCTGGCTCTGCGACGACCAGGCACGCTACACACGCAGTTTTTTGGGACTCTGCCTCAGTAGCTCTTTTCTTAGATTCCTCAAGAGCCAACATAAACAAAATTGCACTGTAGCTCAGCAACCCTTACCTGCCTTGTAACCCAACGGCTCCATGACCTCCACAGACATCCCTAAACAGTTCTTTTCTCGGAGACAGGAGACCGCCGCTATGTTCGACCACATTCTTTCCCAGTTTACACTTGCTTTGGATTTCTCCATCACTCCAAAGGCAGCTGCGATGCCCTGGCCGTGCTGTGCAGGAGACCGCAGTACCTCCTGCCATGCCCACCGCACCTTTTACATTGCTCCAGGTTCAATCCCAACCCCTCTGTTAGTCAGTAGCTTTGGAGGAAACTTAAAACGCAAACAGCAAAGGAAAAGAACATTTTCCACACCTACCTTTGTCCATGTCCACCTCGCTGCCGGAAAACCTCTCCTGTGCTTTTCCTTTTCCCCACTGAACTGCCCGAGTTTCTTCAGCAGAGGGAGCTCAAGCTTTTCATTCCCACCCCCCACCTTTCCCGAGGATCGCCCAGTAAAGGCTCCTGGGCAGCTGTGCCCACCCTTACCTGGGCAGCCCCATCCACCACCAGTTCGAAGGACGCTCCCCCCGCGCCGAAGCGCAGGATATCCCCCGGACTCACTTCCACCGCCGCGTTTTGGACCTGGCAGCCGTTGACGAAGGTGCCGTGGGGGGAGTTGAAGTCCTGAAGGACGAAGCTGTAGTCCGAGGCGGCGAATTCGAGGGCTGCGTGATGGTCGGCTACACCTGCGGACTGGGAAGCAGGGAAACCAGCCAGAAAGCGGCTCAGGTTTTGTTAGCCGTCTGCCAAGCCTGCCTCTCCTTGCCGTGCATCTCGGCAGAAGCAAGCTGGCAGTCCCTACGCTTTGCAGGGAGGACCCCAGCGCTCCCTACACCCAGAGCCCCATCCGTTTCATGACGGTCAGCTTCCTTGCCCCTACCTGCAGGACGATGTCGGACCCTTCGTGCCTGCCTATCGTCGTGGCGTGCGGTTTCAGCTGAAAACACCCCTCCGAACTCTTTAGAAAGGCTCGCATCGTCCGGCCCCTTCACCTGCGAGGCTCGCGTTAAAAAACCCCCAAGTACTCATTTACCAATGTCCCATCCAACACATGAAACCGAGCCAAGAACATCTCGACCGATTCATGCAATAGAAATTGTACAAAATCAACCCAGAGGCAGCTCTGCCCGGCCGGCAGCGTGGCTGCAGCCTCGCAGTAGCCTTGGAAACCCCGGGCACGCTGGAGCCCGCTGCTGCCCTCCTGGGTGTGTTTTTCTCTTTGTTTGGTTTTGTTGGGTTTTTTTTCCTCCTTTTTCCAAGCAACTGGCCCAGCAGCGCAACACAGCTCCATGCCGGTGGATGGCACACACGGGAACATTTCCCCACGTATCGAACAAACTCACGGGGGCTATGCAAGATCCCAGTGAATATTTTTTCCCTTATTACTTATTTTACATTTAATACCACACACACAAGCACAAACATGTCTTGCAACCTCGGGTGAGCGGATAAACGTTGCCACCTGGCGACAGGGATGCTGTCCCCCATCGGCACGCTTCTCTGTCGATGTGCCTTCGTCCTAGGCTGCCACGCACCCTTTTTCAGCATAAAAAGGGAAAATAACACAAAACACCCCCCCCCCCCCCAGCCCCTGCCAGCAGACTCCGGTTTGGCCTTGACACTTGAGCCTCTTTCCCCTCCTCCAAGCACCTGCCCCGCTGCCATCCAAACCCGTCTCCCCTTCACCGCTGGCACTCGGCACCCCAACTGACAGCCCCTCCGTAGCGCGGGCTCCCACCACTGCGACTCTGCTCACCGCCGCGCCTTTCCTGCATCGCTTTCCACATTCTGTTCAGGCCTCCTTCCAGTGGAACCACAGCACTGTTGACTGGTTGGAGGCAGCTGGGTTGAGAGCTGGGCGCACCTCTCACCCCCCCCACCAAGGGTTTTGGGAAGGAGGGAAGCGCACCAGCCCTATATCGCCCCACACCGCAGCATTTCCCTCAATGCCAGTGCTGTGCCACACACAACGCAACCACATCATCCTTTGGATAAGCAGCCCAGACCTGCTGGAAACGAGCCTTAACCTGGCATTTTTTGTTAACAGCAAACCCCGAGATCACTTTTTGGGCCAGTCCTGCTCCCCAGCCGGAGAAATTCCCCCATCGCCCAGCCACAACACACGGGCTATTACCCCACTGGCCTGCAAGCCCACAGGTCAGATGCACGCAGGCAACACCACTGTGCTTCCCCCCTCCTTATATACATGGCCCACCTACAAATATCCTGCCAACAAAGGCTTCCTGCCAGCGTCAGGGCTGCTCCAGTGCTCAGCGGGACCCGAATACCATCCCCGCACAACGGGGCTGCTCTGCTAAGCGGGGGCACGGTCAGCTGAGCAGCGGCCATTCGGCACCACCGGCAACTCCCGAGTTGCCATTGAACCCCAGTTACCTTCCAGAGATGCCGAGATAGAGCTGCAATCTTAAACACCACGTGGGGACACACCTCCCGATTTCTCACCTACTGGTGTGTCTGACCTGAGAACCACAGCCCGAGGTCGGGGTTAGGTGCATCTGCACAGGACGGGTGGACAGGAGATGGCTGCGCTCTCTCCCTTTTCCTCTCCACCCCACTCGCCTTCAGAAATAACTTTTCCCTGACCAGCTATTACAGTGCCATGGGGACGAGCCATCCTAGGACAGCGACGGTCATGGCTTTGGGAGCACTCGTGCTTCTCAGCAGCCCACCTCGCCCTTTCCAAATACCATCAGAGGGCGAGTATGCAAGTAGCTGGCAACGCTCATTAGCCATCCGTGTGTTTTTCGCATAAGCACGGCATTAGTCACAGCCTGTTACACGGCGGTGACGGCACTCCACGTTATTTTTTCAGCTCCTTTCCTACAGGAGCCATTGGGAAAGACGCCGCTTTGGCCAGTCTGTTTCACTACATGGGACTTGCTGGCAAAGAAGCTCCGTGAAACTTCAACGCCCACCTGCTCAGGGAAGAAGCTTCGCTTTATTCACCCAGATTTTCCAAGATGACTGTTAGGCTTGTGTTTTTTCACCAGGGAGAGAGGACTTCGTGCCTTGCTTCCTGCCACAGGCAGGCTCTTAGGGGCATGCACGCCTGGGAGACACCTTCCAAGGAGCTGCACCACCTTTCCAAGCCCTCCGCAACAACCAGAACCACGTGAGACCCCTGACCCAAATCCCTCAGTCTGGAGTATATTCTTCTGCTCTTTTTTTCCTTCCCTTCAATACAGGAGTCCCTTATTTAATGATGTTATTTTGCCCACCTGCAATCACGCCTTGGGGCACAGCAACGTAAAATTCCTGTCATACAACAACAGAAAGCAAGAGATGCAATACGAAATCATCACTAACAGAGAAGCTGTCACACGGATGCAGACCAGCCTCTCCTCTTTGCCCTCATTTCGGTCACTTGCGCTCCTCTTAGACCTTACGTCAACCACACCGCCGAGTCAACCTCTGCTGAACGATCCGTAACGCCATCGACAGCAGCATCGCTCCAACAGAGCCACATCCCTCCCGGCAGCCCAGAGGCAGAGGGGCCACGCTGACGTCTGCTACAAATTCAGGGTGGATCCTCCTCTCTACCCACACCGTTAAAATTCAGACCATACGAGGGAGCCCGTGGGTGAACAGGCTGATGACTTTGTCATCGCTCGCTTTGCCAGAAGCCCGGGAGGCGGCGCGTGGCCGGGATGCCCGTGGAGCGGTACCTGCCCTAAACCAGCCGACAGATCGCAGAGCGCTCCGGCTTGCAAACCCGGGGAAAGGCCAGCCACGCACGAGTGCACACACACACACACAGACACAGACACAATGTACAAAATATTTATTTAGAACAGGTCTGCTCGCACCCTACGCTCAGCAGTCCTATCACCCTGCACACCTCCTGGTAGCAGTGCCCTTGCCTCCCAACCCCTGCCATTTATCTACCGGCCTCAAACAGACTGTCCCTTCGCATCGGAGCACAAAACACCACAGAGAAAGCAACCAAGGCAAGAAATCCATCTTCTCTGCCATGAGCCCAGAGCCCGTTTCAGCAAGCACAGACCTCGGCAGGAGTCGGGGCTGGCCTCGGGCCACCACCCCAGCCCCAGATGGCAGTGGGGGAAAGCTGTAGCGCTACTCTGGCTCAGAAAGCAAAGGCACCAAAAAAATTACAAGGAACGTCGCCCTTTTCCACTTGGAAAATCCTTGTTCAACATCAGTTTGGTGGCTTGGAAAAGTCTGGCTGCAGACAAAGGGGAGAGAAGACAATGTTGGGTGGTCCTCACGTAAAGTACCACAAATTACACTTTCGGTACTTCCAGCCTTTGTTTACTTCAGAGCAGCAGACTCCTTGGCATTCCGGTATCTTTCCGCACAGTCTTTCGTAGAGCCCCATCCTGGGGAAAAACTTGTCCCATCCCCGCGCCGCAGCGCTACGCACCCATCGTGTCCTCCGCATCGCAGCGTCCAGGGAGCCCCAACTGCTTCTGCACCCACACACCGAGCCCCTCTTAGTGTGGTTGTTTTTCAAAACCAAACAACATAAACCCCGCAGCATCCCAGAGTCCTCTCCTTTTTAAGTCATTTGCTGGCTCTCTGGTACTTTCTCCTGGATCTCCTCGTACCTGGGCGGAGGGGTCAGTGGCTCTATCGTGATCGGGGCAGCGCTGTTGCCCTGTGCCAGGTTGAGCCTGATGTCCTTCAAGTGCAGCTTCTCTGACTTGATCCTGCGGACCTTCAGCGGCTTCA